GACTAAAGAAAACGTTAAAATTGATCAATTATTCAGAATGCAGCGATATGATAGTGGGCCGAGCGAAATCGATGTCTTCTACGACGCTAATTTCGGAAGTCGTGTCCCTGGTGGGACTACCGACTAAGTGCACACCAAGACTGTCGAAACGCAAAGCACCTTGCGCGGTGGAGGATGGTTACGACAGCTCGGAAACTTTGGCGGAGTAAGTGGCAATTTTGGGTATTGAAAGTTTAGGTACCGATTGTTCATTGGACTTGATACATTAAGATCTCGTAGCAATAGTTTGGCAAATGGGTGGTTTTCTAAAAACGTAATCCTTAATTTAATTGTGTTTAAATATAATATTTTATTCATAGCATGTAAATTTAGTATTTCTAGTATTATATTTTAACATTACTGAGTATTGTGTGCAATTTGTTTTATTCATTCTATGAGAGAGCTATCGATTTGTTGAATATTTTATCGCGACCTGTATCGGCTGCCTGTGTTCTAAGCTATTCTAAGGTATACCTTTGATGCAATAGATTCGAAGACGAGACCAGTTTGAGCTCGACTACCTTGAAGTTTCAAGATAACGAGGAAAACTGTACGGAGAGGAGCGTAATACCGAACAAATTGCACGCCGATGAACCGCTGGCGACGGTACCGGCTATTATGGCAATTGGTCAGCCGGAAGTAAAATATGCCCAACCAGTCAAGTAAATATATAACTCATTACGCTTGATGAAGAAATATTTTATATGATTCCTGTGTCGATGTAATCTCCGGCCATTTCGGAATGTTTCCAATGGTCGAATATAGACAGTTTAACGATTTGTACATTACTCATATTGCAGATTACGTACTCTGGGATCTGCTAGTCCCGCGGATAAATTAATGTCGGGCAACACGACGAGATGTCAAAGCACAGCGAGTATCAACGACAGCCCGCATATTGCAAGACTTCATCGTTACACGTCTAATCCTTTGCAGTCTAAGGTAGAGATTTAATCTAATTACGTGTATTTTATTTCAAACTATACAGAGAACATAATTAAGGCGCGACCAAGAGAATAGTTAGATTTCTCCCAATTCTGATAATGCAACGATTTCTTCTTAATATAGTACTTAACTTTAATTAAATTGAGACAGTTACGAAAAACAGAGGAACTAAAATAAGCTGTATGTGTGTGCGTGTGTGGGTGTGTAAAATTATATAAATATGTTAAATCGGATAAATCACCTAGTGTTATTCAGAGAAAATTCAAGAATATATTAATGAATAATTTCCATACTCCTGTATTAATTTCTACGACCGAAAATTGTTATCAGGATTCATCGACGAGCAGCCCATTATCGGGCGCATCCACGTTACGCAGCGGTAAGGAGACGAAGGACCGTCGGAATCGCGAGCGACTGCTACAAGGACCGGGCTCGGAGTTCAGTCTGACAAATCCGGAGACGGATATGGAGATCGACTATTACGATTACAACGTCGCGAACGCCGGCGCCGCGCCGGGCTCGTACTTAGGTATGGATCCAGCTTTTCTCCTATGGATACCCCCGTTGTCGATGTCCGAGGATTCTGAAGATCCGTCTGTGGATCGTCCGGATTGTTTTCAAGGCACGACAACGAGCCCGGCATTGTATCAACTGCCGGAGAGCACTGAAGGCGCGACCCTGACCCCGGCCGAGTATCGGCGTATGCGACAACAAATCGCGTCCGGCATCGAGGAGACTAGACCGAGTCTCGAGCAGCAACGCCAAGACTCGACGTCCTCGTCGTCGTCGAAGAACGACTCGTCATCGGGCGGTAGCGTTCTGTCCGAGGATAGCATCAGCGAGAGCAGAACCGCCAGGCTGACCGAACGCCTGCTGCCGATCCACCGGATCCTGGAGGACTCCAGGACCCGGGTCAGCGAGGAATCCCTGTGCAGTCAGCTCGCGACTGACAGGAACACTCCCAATCGCCTTCACGGCACTAAATCTGATCTCTCCCAGGAACAGAGCGCTTCGAGAAGCAATCGACAGGACAACTATGTAAATATCATCGATGGCGCCGTGGTGAAGTCGGAGGATAAATCGGAGAGATCGAGGCAGGCCTCCAAGAGGCATCCCGAAGATGCGGCACTTCATCACGGTACTTCGAGGCCACACGTGAGTCAAAAGGCGAAGGATGTTTCTCAGAGCGACAAAAAGAACCGTCACCTCAAAAACGAAAACGCGTCCAAGTTGCCGACCTGCAAGTCGACGAGCTCGAAGACTCAGGGATACGCGGATGGCAAGGACAGAGACCTTCAGAGTGCCAAGGACGAACCCAAAGCGGACATCGTCCTGACAAATCTGAATGTAAGCGGTCCATGCAAGTACCGTGACTTCACGCAATTTACGCAACCGCGCGAGATCAACAAACTCTCGGACTGCACTAATATCCCGATGATTGAGTTCTCGGGGCCGCGACTGAACTCACCGGCGACGGCACGAAGACTGACGACGGACAACTTGAACATCAGTGTGTCCAAGAGAGAAATTCAGAGTCCGGATTACGGGGTCGAGAGCGACATGAAGACGGAGTCGCGCGACTCCTTCTACGACTTGATCCGCGAGAACGAGGACGGCATCAAATTCGCGGACGACGACGATGATTATATCGATAACAGAGCAAATCTGTGAAATCTACGTTGTAATTGCTACATGTGGGAGCGCAATAAAGACTATGGCTATTTTATGACTGAGAATGTTGTATCGGCGATGTTTTGGCAGAATCTGAAGAGACACGTTTTTGACACGTCACACGTTGTTACATTTAAGGCTAATCTACAATGTGTTCTTTGCGTCTATGAAACATTCTATGTTGTAGCCAATAAATACGTTTAAAAAATTTGTGCAAGTTGATAAATTGTACATTGTACAATCGTAAATTGTCGACTAATTTTTTAAGCGGGTTTGATTTGCTTACGTAAAATAGAATGTTTCTAGACGCAAAGAGCATACTGTTGATTAGGTTTTCGCGACCATGTGAAGATTCTTCTACAATAAGTGATGTAATATTATGTTTCACTTTCCAATCATAATACAAATTATGAATTATTACACTGAGAAAAATGCTTGGATTGTATCAACAAGACATGTACGATAGAATGTATTTTGGTTAAACCAAACAGAATTTCTAGTTAGCACGATAGGACTCGATATTTCATAACCAGTAGTTTGCTAGACTTCACTACACATCTGGTAAATCCTAAGGGAATTCTGATTCGTCCATTTTCTAACAGACGACTGGTTGAATATACCAGATTTTGTTTCAGTGTAACAATCATGATTCGACGATGGTAAAGATTATTTTAAACGGATGACGTTTAACGTGTCAGATCGTGTCTCGACTATATGTGTACAGGATGAGACATGTAAATTGAGACGTTTAAATATCTTCTTAGATATTTTTCGAAGTTTCTTTGAATGACCCACCCTGTATAATTCTTCTATAATATGGAAAAAGGCGGAAAAGCGAGTATAACTGCTGTAATCGCTATTTTTGTAAATGTGTAGAGATCTTGCACGAGACATGTAAATATGCTCCGTCCATCATTGAAATGTAGTTATTCCGAAAAATCGTAACCCTGCCTCGAATACCTCGCTATTCTTATACTTCTCTATACTCTTGATTATATATTTCTTATAGGCTTTTAAGGGAACTCTCTGCTTTCGCAATCGGAATGTCGTACATTAGGCAACAAGTTGTCAATTAACTGAATAATTAGTCCCTGTCATATTTTTACCATACTAAATTAAAATCTCCGGGATACTTTTAGACTTGCATACAAACGCGACGCACTAACACTTAATCGTACCATGTATTTGTTATAATTTCTGTGATATGTTCTGTGGAATTATCGCGTGTACATATAGAAATAAACATTTCCCGTACGTAACATGTAGACAGTTTTCCACCAAATTATCACAACCGCAAGAGAAAAAAATTATATCCATATTAAAGGTAAGTAAATCTTTTCATATAGCAATGTATGTAAGAGCAGACAAATTCTTATCTCTCGTCGTAAAATATCACACATGTACATTTAATTTCAAAATATAATCGCGAGGCGTTCCAAAGCTTGAAATATCTTGTGAGTCAGCGCGACAATTTATAAAAAGAATCTTAAAAAAGAATTGCAAATTTCGAATCTTATATAATATTATTACTTGATCGGTTGTCATAGTTTTCAAATTGATATCCGTACCTTGGGGGCGTTCAACATATCAACAGCGTCGAGTTTCCCGAACTTTGCGATAATTAATCTATAATGAAGCGCTATAGTGAACAGAACCAGTCGACTCGAAGTCGTTGGCTCGTAACGACCAATATGAGAATACTAAAGGTGTTCGGACTTTTCGGTGTCCTTTGCATCAATTTCAACCAATTCGGTACGTAAGACAATCAATAGATTAAAATAGAACTATCTACATGGTCATGTATTATTAACAACTTCAATAATGTCGTAGCCATGATTGATATTTCCGACTAAAATAATTGTAAAATAATTTATTAGATTGTCTTGAAAATTATTTTAAGAAAGTAATATTCCATATTATTAAAGTAATTTAATTTTGTCTACTTTGAATATTATTATTAATTACGAATCAATATAAATGTCTCATTAATGTTTTCATAGACACTTTCGCTTTCAAAATAAGAACGGATTTGGATGTGGTAACACGACAATGCAAGCATTTGGAAAATTTGACGCCATTATTACGGCTCAAAAGACATCTTTTTTGCGATTACGACAGTACACTTCACCCGAATTATCCTAACACAACCAATGTCACTATGATCTTAATGCCGAAGCTAATGGATTTCGTAAGTGTGTAGTTATATGAAATATTACAATATATAAATTATAGTTATCTGAATATGGAAAATTGTAATAGTGTCCAAATATAAAATTTATATGATTTTTATGAAGTATAGTTTTATTATATTTCTTGATATAAAAGTAAATATTGCTCTAAGGCCCGGTTTCACCAACGTTGTTTAACTTGAACTTGAGCTTTAAGCTTAGTTTAAATCTTTCTTTGTCTCTTTCCAAAGTAACAGTTGGAAAGAGACAAAGCACGAATTAAACTAAGTTTTAAGTTAAGCGACGTTGGTGAAACCGGGCCTAACTGTAAGTATTTTAAAACGATACGAAACTTTCGTTACTGTCACTCAAGAGGCGAATTTTTATAGAAAATTGTTGCAGAAGGGCTCTTCATTTCTTTTTATAAAAATATAACTTTTATAACGATTTTGTTTACAGGGCAGAGACAATGGTATACTGTCACTACACAGTTGGATATCACTTGTGAGTGCATAATTCTTCCATTCTTACGTCTAATGTTCTAACATTACTCCAATATTGCAGCATGTAATAAATTTACTACAATATTTATTTGACAGACTTGGACGGACCCACAACTTGCGTGGACGATGAGCGATTACGACGAGATCAGTTTTATTCAAATAAGAAGCTCGCAGACCTGGGTGCCCGATCTAGGTATCCAGAATTCGTAAGTAGTCTTTAATAATTGAAAATAATTAAACCGAATTCTTTCTGCTTTAAGATAAATTGTATTTTGAGAAAAATTATTCGACGTATCTGGCAATACTTTATTAAAGGTATTACACAACGTTTTGACCAAGAATTCCGGCCCTTTTCAAGTGAAAAGCTTAATTCCATTCTAAAGTCAGACAAGTGCCAACTAGTCGGAATGTAAAGACTATGAAATTATCGTGTGTCAAAACTTGTATTTTAATAATCCATTCAAATCTCTCTTCCTCTTTGTAAAAAAAAGATTAACAAAGAGCAACAAAAATCTTTCATATCACGTTAATGTTTTAAATCTTTTATCCTTCTCTTCGATCCTTTTTAGGGGCGATATGTCGACTAATCAACATGAGCTACCTGCGACAGACTGCTTGCTCTATAACTCGGGCCTTTTTAGTTGCGTCCCTGCGATGAAATTGATTTCAAAATGCAATCCTGATTATACTTACTGGCCTTACGCTAAATTTCAATGTTCCGTTAGGTTTACTTCGTTGCTGTACACAGAGAAAGAACTTAATTTGTTGATAGATGGAAAAGGAGTATGTATTATGCTTTGGTCAAAAATCATTCAATTCCCCTCATTATTTTATCCATTATTATTATTATATATGCATAAAACAGCAACTGCTAATTCCCACCTAATCAGAATAATCCTTTCTCTGCACTAATTTAGTAAAATTATTTGAAAAAGTGCTCGTTGCAAAAATCAAGGTAACACATCTAGAATTAATAAAATATAATTTGATCACTATATATTTAATATATATATATTTCTTTTATAATGCATTCTCTTGCTTGCGTAAAAAAAATTACTACTTCATATTGTGAAATAATAATATTTAATTGTATCTATTTATATCGCTTTGGTAAAGATTCTAACGTAAAAAAATCGCTATCTTCTTTCGCAGATTAATATGGACGATTACGCGAACAATACCATATGGGACTTAAAGTTTATCAATTCGACGAGAGAAGTAAAAAAATATAAATGCTGTCCGAATGACTCGTTCCCGATTATCAATTACAACTTCTTGTTGACGCACTATCATCATAGCAAACAGTATTCTTCAATCGCGCCGGCTATTGGTGAGTTATTGTTCGGAAGAGTGCAAGGAATAATTAATAATATGCATAACACGTTTCTTTCCAGCTTTGATACTACTCACTTTAACAGTGTTCTGCCTCGATATTAAGTCTATTGAACGAATGGCAGTAGCAAGCCTGAATCTTGTTTGTCATATGTACAGCTTCTATCATGCGTTTTGGATTATACCGTTCAACAGTGTTAATACTCCCAACATATGTAAGTAACGAACTTTTAAAGAACGCGATCACAAGAGAGAGACTACAACATGCACAGAATATTTTCTAATTTACAACTTCAACACGGTTTTTGTAACATTAAATTAATTAAAAATAACATATCGCTGAGTCGTAAGTTAGAATATACAGTTACCGTGACAGACGTAAAAAAGTATAAAATATAGAATCCTATTAACTAGAATTAAAAGTATGAAAAAAAATTTTGAATACATCGTACCTAACATACAATATTAACGTTAAAAACTTTAAAAAGGACTTTGAAAATTTATTTTCAATCACATAACAAATTTGATATTACAAATGCGTAAATTACTAAGGGCCAGTTTCACAAACGTCGTTTAACCGCTAACCCATGGTTAATTGATCCTCTGTCTCTTCTTGGATAACAAGATAGAGAAAGATAGGAAGTCGACTGAACTCTGGTTAACAGTTAACCGACGTTTGTGAAACTGGACCTAAGTAATTTACGCGTATCGTATTTATCACGCAGTGTTATTTTACCACGAGTCCTTGGCATTGGCTACTTTCGCAATACTTTTGACGGCTTTTTTACGCAAACTGGAAGATACGAGCACAGAGATACCAAAGTGGATTTCGTTTACTACAACGCTTGTTTTAAGCAACAGGATTGGACGGTTTCTAATCGTCAAAGACGAATATAAGATAGCCGACAGAGATAATGTAACGGAAGAAAACTCGGATATTCCCAGATCGGAGCCGAGCATGAAGGAATCGTCCTGGAAATACTTGGTTGCTATTATTGACTGGTTATCTTTTGTCTGCGTCATCTTTATCTATGTCATCAGCTTAATTATTCTATTACCTAAGGATTAATACATGAGAAACAATATTAACAATGGGATATCGTCCATAATGTTTCCTATCCTCCACAACATTCAAATGTCATTTTGTTGCATCCACCTCACTTATATTTTGTTATCCTGATTACTTTTGTATCCACAATTTAATCTGACAAAAAATATTAACGTCAAAGTGTTTTCATAAATATTCGTTAACTTCCTATAATATTTGAAATTATAAGAGATAAAACAAAATTTCAAGATTTAAAAATAAAATCCGAAAAATAAAAAATAAAAATACTGAATAATTTTATTTTTATTCACAGAATAGAGATAAGTTTTATACTTGACATTTAAATTAAATTTAAAATTTACTTTAAAATAAATTATTATTATGACAATTATTTTTTAATTAAAACAATGAATTGGATAAACTGTGTAATATTTATTTATTTATTTATTATCAGTACTATATTCATTAATATTATCCGATAATATGATATGTATAATAAGTGCATGTAAGAAATCAAAAGAAACTATAGAGAAATTACAAGAAACTACATTCTGCTAAATGATAAAAACAGTAAACACATAATTACAATATGCATGAATGCACATCGAGCTTTCATTTGTTATTTAATTTTTTACAACTCTGTTTTACACAAATAATATAATATGCTGTTTTATTACTTTTTTCCTTAAATTTCGTATATAAATAGTAATAAAACGTTAACGCGCATTGTAGTAATCAGATATTCCTCCGTAATTTATGATACGTGTTCTGTACATCTATCGTGTGTACGTATAAAAATAAATATTTCTTCTATACAACATACAGTTTCCTATCAAATTATCATAATCGTCGTATGAAAAAAATTAATTCAATATTATAAGTAAACCATTTTTTTTCATAGAACAATATGAGAGCAGGAAATTTCTTGCGCCGAAAAATATCGCCACAGATATTCCATAACTTATCAGGAAATACCTTATGAGTCAGTGCAAGATTTTATAAAAAAATTTCTTAAAGAGAATTGCAAATTTTAAATACCATATTGCATTTTTACTTGACTGACTGTCACAAGGTCTCTAAATTGGCGTTTACACTTTGGGGGCGTTCAATATATCAACAGTGTCGAATTTCACGTACTGCATATAACTAATCTGGTACTATAATGACCAGAATTAGTTGATTCGAAGTCGTTGGCTCGTTAAGATGGGAATATTAAACGTGTTTGGATTTTTTGCTATTTTTTGCATCAGTTCCGATCAATTCAGTACGTAAGATCGATACAATCGATACAATAAAATAGAACTATTTATACAATCACGTATCTTTCACAAGTTTTAATAACAGCTATATTATTGATATTTCCGTCTAAAATCATTTTAAAATAATTTATTAGATTTATTAGATTATATATTGTTTTAACAATCATTTAAATAGAAAGTAATATTTAAATAAAATTATTTAATTTGTCTATTTTGCATTAGACTCATTAATTACGAGTTAGAGTAAGTATAAATATCTCATTAATATTTTCGTAGACACTTTCGCTTTCAAAATAAGAACGGATTTGGATGTGGTAACACGACAATGCAAGCATTTGGAAAATTTATCGCCATTATTACGGCTCAAAAGACATCTTTTTTGCGATTACGACACTACAATACCTCCGAATTATCCTAAAACGACCAATGTCACCCTGACATTAATGCCGATGATAATGAATTTCGTGAGTATATAGTTATAAGAAATATACATATAAATTTTAGTTGCCTGATTATGAAAAATCTTAATGAAGTGCCCATTCTTCAAATATAAAATTCATAGGATTTATGTGAATTTCAGTTTTATTTCTTGATATAAAATGTATTTCTCAGCCAACTAAAAGCTTCGTGTTACTTAAGATATGAGTTGTTATAGAAAGCTCAATTTTTCTAATACACATATATGTGTACATATTTAGTAACTATTTTACAACGCATTGCAACGTGTGCAAAATTGAATAATTGTGCTTACAGAAAGGAAGGAAACTGTCACTGCACAGTTTGATGCTACTTGTAAGTTCATACTTTCTTTGTTATTAAATTCTCTTTCTTGCTCTGATATCAAAGTATTTAATATTGCAATAAAATATGTACTTGACAGATTTGGACGGACCCGCAGCTCGCTTGGACACCGAGCGATTACAACGAAATCACACTTATTCGCGTAAACACTTATCAGATTTGGACGCCCGATTTGACTGTCAATAATTCGTAAGCAGACTGTTCCTAATCATTGATGAAAATTAAAATTTAACCCATTTAACTTTAAGATAAATATATACTTTAATAATCCATTCAAATCTCTCTTCAAATTTCGCTTCATAGACAAGGAGTAACAAGGAGCAATAAAAATCTTTTATATCACGTTATTGTTTTAAATCTTCTGTCCTCCTTTTCGATCTTTTTTAGGGGCGATATGTCGACTGCTCAACATGAACTACCTGTGACAAACTGCTTGCTCTATAGCTCGGGCTCAGTTACTTGCGTACCTGCGATGAAATTTATTTCAAGATGCGATCTTGATTGCACTTACTGGCCTTACGCTAAACAGCAATGTTCCGTCACGTTTATTTCATGGATGCACAAAGGGGAAGAAGTCGATTTGCTGATAGATGGAAAAGGGGTATGCGCTTTTGTCAAAAATCCAAATTCCCGAGATTATTTAATCCATCACTACTTAACCATCATTATTTTATTCATCACATAACACAGTGACTTTTAATTTCCACCTCCTCAAAATAATACTTTGTCTGCACACGGGTACCGTTTTGTTAAAATTATTAAAGAACTACGTGTTGCAAAAATCAATCTAACACATCTCTTATAATGTTGTGTATGCAAAAGAGATTATTTCATATTGAAAAATTACAATATTTAATCATATCTATTCACATTGGAAAATATCGCTTGGAAAATATTCTTACGTAAAAACCGATATCTTCTTTTGCAGATTAATATGACAGACTACATGAACGACACAGTGTGGGATTTCAAGTTTATCGATTCGATGAGAGAAGTCAAAAAATATAAGTGCTGTCCGAACGACACGTTCCCATCAATCAAGTACAACTTCTTGTTGACGCACTTTCATGGCAAATTTCACACAATTGTTATCGTACCGACCATCGGTGAGTAATTGCTCAGAAAAGTGCAAGGAATAATTAATAATAAGCACGATACATTTCTTTGCAGCTATGATGCTACTCACTTTAATAGTGTCCTGTCTTGATTTAAAGTCGGTTGAAAGAATGGCGATAGCGAGCGCGAATTTGGTTTGTCATTTGGTCTGTATGTACAATATGTTCTGGTATTTACCATTCAACGGCGTTAATACCCCCAATATAAGTAAGTAACGAAATTTTAAAGAGCACAATCAAGAGAGAATACAACACGAGACAAAGAATATTTTCTAATTTATAATTTCAACGCGTCTTTTTTATAACATTAAACAAATTAGAATCAATCCAAATAACCTTTCATTTTCTAATTATTAATTTCAAGAGAGAGAGAGAGAGAGAGGGAAAGAGAGTTAGAATATGCAGTTACAGTAACAGATGTAAAATATTCTTAGATTTAATTAGCTGAAGAAAGTATAAAGTATAAAATCCTATTATAACTAGAACTAAAATTATGACAAAAAAATTTTGAATACATAAGAAATGTGAACGTTAAAAACTTTAAAAAAGACTTTAAAAACTTATTTTCAATCACATAACAAATTTGATATTACTAATGCATAAATTACTAACAATTTTATACATTTCATATTTATCTTGCAGTGTTGTTTTACGGCGAATCTTTGACACTGACCACCTTCGCGATAATTATCACAGCTTTCTTACGCAAACTAGAAGACATGAGCACAGAAATACCAAATTGGATTTCGTTCACCACAACATTTGTTTTGAGTAACAAGGCTGGACGTTTTCTAATTCTCAAAGACGAGTCTAAAACGATTGATGGAGATATTACAACTGAAGAAAACTCAGGTATTCCCAAATCTGAAATAAGCATGAAGAAATCGTCCTGGAAATACTTTGCTGATATTATCGACTGGTTAGCTTTCATCTGCGTGATTCTTAGTTATGCTATTATCTCACTTATGCTAGTACCCACAGACTAATCTACGATAGAAATATTATAATCATTGGACTATTCTCCATAATGTTCCTCATCTTCCGCTACGAAATACTTTCAAAAAACCTCCACAAGATTCAAGTAGACGGCACCAATAAATCAACGATGATATTCGCGATATGTTGCGTAATTTTTATAAATTTAATGTAATGCAAATTATTCCTAATTATTACTATTCTGCGCAATAATAAATGTGGCTCGCAAAAATATTAACAAAAGTTTTATCTTCTAAGGTCTCATGCTTACATTTTAAGTTTCAAAAAAATCGCGTTATCACATCTACGTTTACAGAAAGATAACTGGTTTACGATTTGATCAAAAGACAAAGTTTCTTTGCCGAGTGACATTTCCGTCATTTGTCGACATAGAGAAGCTCGAGTCTCCAGATGCAAAGTAAGCTTTAAATATTCTAATTTATCAAACCCCCGTAAAATCAAAAGCCCATGAGAGAATATTAAGTCCCAGTCTACAATAGAGATTTAAGCCCTAAGCCTTAAGAAATTGACTAATCACAGTCGCGCATTCTACTCATACTTGACCGTGATTGGCCAATTTCTTAAAGCTTAGGGCTTAAATCATCTATTGTAGACTGGGACTAAACGTTGATCGTCAAAGACCTCGCTCAGACAGGAATAAAACTCAAATCTTCCAGATTGCCTCCAGTAGCAGTCATTTCGGCACGGAGTTAACGACAATCGTTTTTCATATCATTGCATTCGGAGTATTTTTACTATTGAAGTATTTTTGAAAATATGTCATGGTTTTTATTGCTTTTTTGTATCATTTTATCTTCTATCCCGTTTTTATTTTTCCCCCTTTTTTCCTTTTATTTCTTTTCCTATAAAGTTCTGATTAATACGCGTACTCGTGCCAAAATCACTACTTCCCCTCCCCCCGAGATATAAAAAAACAGGAATTAATTCTGATTCTGTAGGAGGTCCTCAACCTTCAACGAGATACCAAATTAATAACCTTTCATGTTGAAAATCGCTACGACTTTCAGCTGTACAAATGTATTTCTTAATGTTCACCTGCCGCGAAAGACAGCGATAACGATCGCATCCAAAAACGTGAATAAATCGCGGCCTTCAACAAATTCAACGCAAAATGTAATTAAAAAATTAAATGTATCGGATATTTAATAGGATCAATGTAACATATATAAATATAAATTTATTAAAAAATAAAATTTTCCGTTTCGTATTCCAAGTAATAATGAGTTACAATAATTATATAAATTACGAATTTTGTAATAATTTTAGAAAATACATATACCCGAAATAAATTTTGTAATATTAAATTTCAAGCAAATTTCGTGAATAAGAGAGAAGCTATTATTACATGAAAATATTTGAAATACATACACGATAAAACAGATATTATGCAGACTATCATTTTTACCGGATATAATAACTGTTAAAGAAACTTGAAATCCTAAATAAACTTGAAATTGTCCTCGAGAAACTATATATTTTTAATTTGAAATCTAAAACAAAATCTCCAGCAAAGCTGGTAGAGATCCTCCACCCACCCCACTGATTTTAACCGGCGGACCTCTTTTCTTTGGATATGCTTCTCTTACTTTTTTAAATTATTTTTCTATAACATAATTTACAGTACTTGATAATGTAATATTATAATTCATCTATCACAATTAAATTTACAATTTACTTTACATCAAAAACATAGACAGAGTATACAGAAATATAAAATACATTGGACAAATTTATTTGATCGTTGATTTTCAAACATTCACGTTTTTACATTTATATAAAATTTATAATTGGTGATAATTTTTGAAACTTTGTTCGAAATTTTAGCTGGAAAACGCGGAATTAATTTCGCCCCTGCAACGAAAGCCCCAAATTTTTAATGAGACGCCGAACTAGACGTCATCACGGTTAGCTTCCACAAAAACCGATGAGAAATAACTACTTATTCACGATAAAGATCATTTCGACTCTACGCCAATACAAATTACACATTCACTAACGGTTACATACTTGACGCGAGGAAATCTTATAAAAGTTGGTATCAATTTCAAATATAAATTTTTAAAACATTTTCCACATAGAGATGATATAAAATATCTAATAAAAGAAAATATCTAATATTTTTTAATTTAAGAGATTTCCTGTTATACGCGTTTCGATTTTGTGTAATCCGTTTACACAAATTAGACATGCAATGTTATATAATTTTATATCAACAATTTTCGCGACAAAGTACATCATTTTGCACATTATTCTTAACTTTATCTTCTTGTTATTATTACACATCATTGTTGTATAATTTTGTGCAAATAATTATAGAGTAAACGTGTACAGTTTATTTACATAAAACTGTACAATAATAAATCTATAAAGTAAATTAATTGTTTTCCTCGTCGTATCATCCCCCCCAATCCTACCTACCAGTGTAGTTAATTCTTCATTTTCCTATCTAACTTTCTTAAAATACCTACCGAAATTATAATTCTAATTAAATTTTCTTTTACTGTCGAAAATAACAGCCCCATATCCCTATCCAGTACTCTTGCATATTAATTTTCCTACTTACACGAAGTTTATCTGCGTTTTACCCTATTTTTATCTACGTGCATAATATTTCTACCCACCCGTATCTTTAACTAATATATTTTTAGTTACGACCGGGATTATTCGAAATTGTAGAAAATCGAATTTAGTTTTAAATCGCGACCGTTTGGGAGTTTTTATTGGGGATTTGGTTTACGCGGAATGGAGATAAATTTAACTCCAGATGGTATCTTTCTTCTGGCCAGAAGGACTCACCTTTTGCTGTTCCTGGCCAATACCCTGGCTTTATATAGCCAGAAATTGACAGCAAGGAGATATACTCCTTCTGCTGCCAGCTGATCACAGCCAGCAATAAGCGTAAGATTCTACGCTTTTGTACGATGCGCGAAACACGAACGCGTCGCGAAGGGGCCATCAAATTAATTAAATCAATTACGTACGGAATTAACAATGAACAATGACAATACTAATTTCATCGTGAATTTTATTCTTTACACGCGTTTATTCGCAATTAAAATATGTATCGAATAATTAAAATATACAATATCCGATTAGAAAAACAATTCTCTATGTCGACAGCGTTTTTTGATTCAAACGGATCGCGATTCTAAACTTTACGCGAAACTTGTAAACTTGAAAAAGTAAAAACAACGGAACTTTAATTTGGAAATATATAAATGAATGAAAATTGCTGGACGCGTCATCCGATAGAATCTAAGGCCCATGTGCGTATTTTCGATTCGAACGATTCGTAGCTGAATCTCATCTCAAAAGCATGCAGAGATGAGAAATTCAGATGAATGACGCAAGATCCGAAAGAGATAATATAAATTTCCCAATCAGAATTATTGAATTAATAAAAATATCCCTTCGTAAATTATTAAAATTATTTGTCGCGTAATATGCTGTATCGTCTCCCTTAATTTAAAAATAAAGTATTTTTAAGCGACTCGAAACCAATTAAGTTTCAGATAATTTCCAGATAAAAACGAGTCTTCTCTTTCGTAACAAAATGTACATTGGATCTCACGTCATAATATTACTAACTGGTACAATCCAGTTATCAACCACTACATATAAGTTATAAAAGATTAGGCTAAAGTTAGCGCGTTAAAGTAGGTAATAATTCAGTAACCATAAGTATCTTTTATAAAAAATAGATTAACAATTTGTATGAGGTGTATTACGCTAAAATATTTGTTGTAATTTAGTTACTACAATACAAACGTCTATAAGAAAATTAACAATACTACTTTGAAAGGAATATTTATATATTCCTTTTCTGCACTAACTTATATAAAATTTAATCCTGGACAAAAGATTGTAGTGAAATGGAGAACGAAATAATAGAAGTAATAACATATCTCATAAATAACAATATACACATTTCAACTTGTTCCCTGTGGATTACAACATATGTATGAATACCATGAGCAAACTTAAGTACAGCAGTAAAAGTCAATATCTCAATTGTTATAATTTTATATATTTATGAAGAATAATGTAATGCACACATGTGTTGAATAAACTAAACTTTAATTGACTAAATAATATTGTTAATTAAAATAATTAATAAATATTACATATCCTCATGGTATTCGCAATTTTTACTTTGTACGTAGTGTGTGCAAGAGTACGTTCTCGTATACACACTACGTTATGCAACAAAATATATGTAATTGTAAGATCCAGGATTAAATTTCTCCTAATCTGTTTTAACTTATCAATTTTAAGGTAACGGATGCACGAAACGCTTTATATTTCTATTTACTATATTTACGTTAACAAATTAAGACATATGTGCATCAAAGTATGTATATTCAACAAATCTATCACGGATCCGTTACCTCAATAATAAAAATTAATTCATCACTCACCAACACTGACGCGCAGCAGCGGAGTTACAACTGCAACGTCGCTACGATGATTCTGTAATGCACAAGCATAAAATTAATATTCAAACTGTGTTAAGAAAACAAAGTTTCAAAATATAATTCTCACGCGCAATGAACTTTCTGTTCCATTAAATATTTATACTTGAATAACTGAACGTCTTTCGAAAAAAAAAAAACTCACAGGGACGAACTTTGATAAAATCTCGAATTACTTCTTTCTCTCCAATTGTTAAGTTATGGTGCGATATAATGACTCGAAAAAAAACGGCGAAAAAGATCGCTTTTGCGCAAAATGAAAGATAATTACCGCAAGGTTGCTCCGCCGATGCCCGATGCCCTCGCTCAGGCCTCCTCCTCCTCTCGGATGGCCGGCTGCGTTGGTTTCCTTCGAGGCACAACACTAGCACTAGCACTCACTCGCGCACTCGCCAAGAATCGGAGATCCATTATCAATCGACACGGAACGCGACGACGCACGGAAGAAACGGCCGTATTCAAGTCCAGACACGGGCGCAGCGAGCAACCGTCCGCGAACGGCGCAACGAAACGGCTCACAATTGCCGTATCTCCGCCTCGAGAGAACCGCGCGACACATTAACTCTTGGTCCTTTTCCTCACAACCGATTAAAGTCTCTCGATCCGTAACCGACACAGCCGCCACGCATTCGTTCCGACAAACCTGATGCACTCGCGGATTGTCGCGCGCACATCCGACGATTCCCGCGGAAAGAGGAAGATTGGTGCCAACCGCAAGGCGGAAAATAGCGCGGCGCGACGCGCGTAGTAATCCGCGGACGCTTCCTGTTCTCTCGAGATCCGTCGAGCGAGTAAGCGGCCGCCGAGGGCGCCGAGTCACTTTACCGTGCAGGTACGTCGAACGCCGAACGGAGAAACGATAGTCGATCACGCGGCAACCGGCGCGGAAGGTAACGAACGTCGCTTCCGAGTCTCGAGAATACGTTAAATGGGGCTCTCGCTCAGTCACGCCGCCGGCTGAGAGACGTCGAGAGCGATTGGCTGAC